AAAATTAATATTAAAATTTTTTGATATCTATGGAACAGGTTGTTAAATAAAATCCTGTGAAAATAAAGCCTAACTTGAAAAAATTGCCCTCCCACCCCTCCTTATGATCAATGGTTATAGTCCCCTAACCCATAGTAAACGCAGTGTTGTAGTTTCTAAACAGGATAAACAAGCATAAAAAAATATATACTTTTGATAATTGGGGGAGTCATAGCTCCAACAAATGCAAAAGTTATGTGAATTAAATTTTTTAACGGTTTATCATTTCTTGGAGTTAATCTTTGATACATTTTGATTTAACCTTATAGCAGTACAATTAATACATGTATAATTAAATCTTCTAGCAGTATTTTATTAATAATGTAAATTAAAATCAATTTTCTGATCCCCCCACCCAAAAAAAATAAAAACACAATTAATTAAAGCACAAAAGCAGATTATTCAAACAGGTCCAGGAGTTTTTCACAACAGATTGTTTGATTAAACTTTGGAACTAGCAGGTCTAGAATCAGTAGTTCCAGGCATATTTGAGTTGAAATAGGACGAAGCAAAAACTCTTAAATCTCAATTCTTAAAGAATGATATTGCAGCATAACAAGATGTTGTTTTAGCTTTACTGTGCACTAGAAATTTTAATGTTCTTAAAATGTTATGAAATTGGCTTTAGCAATATTAGTTGAGATTAATGATGTGAAATCATTAAAGAATATGGCATAAAGAGTACCATTCTGGAAATATGACGTCATTAATTTGATACATTTCTAAGTTTAATAAAGAAAAGCCTCAAAATGACTATTTCTGTGCTAATTTTCCTTTAGAAAATAGTGTCCTCAACCGTCCCCCACTTAAATTTTTGGATATGCTGTGCAAAATACAATGAAAAATCACATATCTCTAAATCTCTGTGGGCGACAGTGGCAGAGTATGTTTTCTGAAAGAAAATTCCACTGAAAATTGATGTCCTCTGCAACTTTATAAGAACATACGAGAAAATGCACAAGTTAATGACGTCACAATTAACATTTAGGAGGTCATGTGAGAAAAAGGATTTGTGTATTCTTACTGTATGGAATTCCTATGATTCAGAAAGAATGAATTTTTATTTATTATTATCACTTTCATATTTTAGAAAAATATAGGGCTTAATTTGTATTGAAACTGTACCTTCTTCTTAGATTTTTCCGTCAACTTCTCTGAAAAAAAGTCACTGGAAAACACATTTGACTGTCATTTGAAAAGTTCGGATTGTTAAATATGATTTTAAAAATGTGCATGCATTTAGAAGCAAGAAATTGGTTAACTAAAACAACAAAATATTCTTTACATGCTTGTACATGTAGCACATTTCTTAAAGAAAAAAGTCTTGCACATTTAATTATATCCAAGATTTTTTCAAAATATGATGATGCTTGAAAGTCCGATTTCAGAGGAAAATTTCATAAAAATAAGGGGTGCAAAATGTAGGCGAATAAATTGAATAAAACGTGCGTAGTTCAGTTTATATTTTTTAATAATTGTGACCTTGAGCTTTGACCTTCTGTCCATATGGGCACACATTTATATGATGCTAGTTATTGTTGACCATGAACTGCAATTTTGTTTCTTCATATTGTTGTTTAAAACACAAGTGTTAGTTATGACACAGAAAATATGTTACTTTTTATGTTTCCTTAAATATCTATCTAAATATCCCATTTTGACCTATACCTTTGACCCTTAGTCATACAGAGTGATTTTATATCTCAGTTTTTTTTTTTTTTGGCTATGCGTTTACCATATAACTAAATTTGTTTTAATCCATTTTAAAATACTAACAGGCAATTATATGGAACCTGATTTTATCAGTCTCGTATTGTACTTTTGTAGGATTTTTAAAAAAAAGCATAAGTTTGACCATGGTAACATAAAAACTATCATATGAATACCAAATGCTGACTTAGAAGTTTATATTAAAACTATATATGGACTTTGACGACGGATTTTTCCATTTTTTCCCAACCATGCAAAAAATTATACGGCAGTGCTTTTCAAAAGAGCGGTAAAATCTCACTCCTCCATGGCAAAAATCCTAACCTATGTAAAGGAGGGATATTTTTCTATGAGGAAAAAGTTACTGAAATATAAAAATTTTCTAAAGCACTATAAAATGATGTATTTTGGCAAAAAGGCAAAGTCATGTTAATAGCTTGTTCCATTGAAGACTTTTAATGGACTTTCAAAATGGGTCATTTTACAGCAAAATGTTCATTTTAGACATTTAAACCTGTATCATGTTGGTTGCCATGGTAACTATAGACCATAGCAACCATTTTATCATGAATTTTAGTGGTACATACATAATGGTGTTAGGTGCACTTATTTCATAAAAATCCAAGACCATTGCCAGGCTCCCTATACATGTATAAGAGTTTAAATGCTTACAGAGAATGGCTATTAAAAGTCCATTTTTTAAACAATGCAAAGAATGAGTGCAATTTATATCGTCAAAAGAGCTGTTTACCCATTTTAAGCTTTACAATAAATATTCATGTATTGTATATAAATCTATGACCATTGTGCAAGCATATGCTTTTGATACCTATTTGACTTTTTTGACATATATATTTCTATATTTACATTAAATGTCATTTTAAAGAATAAAGGATAATTCCCTAAATTACGGAAAATTTTTTTGGAAGTTAAGTAACGAATAAAATATTTTAATTTCCGCAGGAATAAGCGGAGACAAAAAAATCACGTGGATGTTAAATGTAAACGTTTTCCGCACTGAGTTTCATATAGAAATTTAAAGCCATTCCAAGTTTTTTCTCTGTTTAATTTCCACCCATCTTTTCAAAAACCTACCTACCTATTCGCAAAAAAACACACAAGCCAAAACATAAAGCACAGGCTTAAAAGTCATAAAAATGACGCCCTTCAAATAATTTGATCAACTAAACTGCTTTAAAAGAAGGAATATCTATTCCTAAGCAAAAACAAGGGATTAAATGCTTAAGATACACCCAATATTACTTTAAGTACAGAATTATTTGGAGAAATTGACAAACTTCAAAATTTTCCACTAAAGAAATTTCAGGCTTCATGGTGTTGTTTGTTTTTTCTTATATAGGGTGTCAAAAACCAAGGCGCACGCGGACGCTAAACATAGAAAAAAAAACTTGGAATGGCCTAATTGGAGAATAGAGAGATTGTAGAGTTTCTACTGCACAAATATTAAATGATTCTAATGTTTAGGGATGAATAGATGTCATGCCCTGCAAACTATAATGCAGAGGCAACATGAACCTGTATTTACTAATCTCACTGTGAACACCGGAATTCTTTCTAAACACACTTGACGAACAATACAAATTAAAGTAAGACACATATAATCTTCGACCCTTATTAAAATTTGCACAAATATCTTCGATAGTTTGAAGTAGGAAATACGAAATATACTGTGACAATAGAAACGTCCAATGGCAAACACAATGATATGTTCAATAAAAGCGTTAGTGTTTCGAACCATGGAATGTCACACGATAAAAGTGATTTTAACATCAATTGTTGATGCTTGGGACCTGGTAATTTTGTTGATAACTCGACAGAAGTTTGAAGTTTTTCAAGATATGAGCCAACATTGTCCTATGGATGCATGTATTTTTAAGTTAAATTTAAAATGCACAATCTGTTCAAATAAGATGAGTGGACAATTTGCGGCTCGATGTAAATAATGCTGTGAAAACGGGTTTACTTATGAATAACAATATAGAAATCTGACAAAACTGTTTGACCCCTTCTCAAAAGCCAGTGTCGCTCGGCATTAATACTTTTATGTAATATAAAAAAGAAATCTGCTCTTAAGAATTCTTTTATGCCTATAAAACATCTATTTAATGAACTTTGTACATGTAATATTATGTACGAAACCTGCTCTTAAGACACTGTTTATACCTCTAATACATAAATTTAAAGAACTTTGGGATTTTATTTTGAGCAAAACACCGGGATTCAACTTTCATAGCTTATAAGTGCATCCATCATTTGGAGCAGAGAAAACAAAGGTTGGGTCAGGTGCCATAAAGGAGTGAGCTTCCCCTGTCGACCGGTCTCACTGCTGTGTGTTCTTTTTATAATTATGATCGGGAAATAACGAAAAAATCCGTACATAATTCAGATATACAGGTGTCGTACCAGTATCATAGTTGAAGTTCATGTCGAATTATGGTTAACGACGATAATTCTAAATCTCATCTTCTCACAGTTTGAAGACCTTTTAGTCCCACATTTTAACAAAGTCTCCGAAACTGTGAAAAAGATATATTTGTACATGTATTCATAACTTGCAATATTGACATTTTGAAGTGAAATATATGTTTAATCCTTCTCCCAGCTTTATCAGATATAAATTTTGTTTTGATGCATACATCAAACAGTAATAGTATGATGGAATGCTTTTTTCACCGCTTTTTCTATCCATATTTTAAAAATTTAAGTTTATAATTTCTCGGTCATAATAAATCTTGATGAAGAGATGTATCTGAATATAGTAAAGTCACAACTTGTCCATCTACAAGATGTTCTATCAAATGTAAAACTCAAAGAAAACACATGAGCATTGCTTCCATTACAACGCCTAGTTGGTTCAGTTGCATAATGATGACAATGATCCGGCAAAATCTTTACATACATGTAGCACATGCAGTTGGACACAAGACTTGTGTAAAGCTATTAATCATTATCTAACTGATATGTTCACTTGATAACACAAATTCTTTTTAGAAAATGACATTTGCGAGATAACTATTATTAAGTCATGTTTAATTTCTGGCATTTCCAAAGTACTCATTCATTGACAGCGATGACTTTTGTTCCTAAAATACAGAAAAATAGACTTATTTTTACGTCATTCACAGCAATATACAATTAATAATTAATCCAGATTAAACTTTAATACGTGTTCGTTCTTTTTCGTGCTAAATATAACGAATACGATATGTTTTACTGTATTTAATTCGTCA